CAGGAATTATTCCCAAACATTTCCACACTCATGGTGCAGCCTCACCTTCATGTGTATCTCTTACTTGTCCTCTCTTTGTGAGTGAATTTTATACTGAATTTATCCTCTTTACTTTGTTTTAATTTAATCCAGGAATATTGAATCCCTTTCTTTTGTTCAGATTCAAACTGGACCATGGAATGTTGGATTAAAGGCAAGCTGGACCTGTTGGTTTGTAACCTGTGGGGTTTGAAGGTGGACTTGAGAGATGATGTGAAGGTTAATCTTTTATATGCTGTGTAAGTGCAGACTCTGTTAAATTTGGCACTGTTGGCATTGGAAATCTGGAAGCAATTCCCAAAACATCAACATTCCAGAGTGGAGCATGGTAGAAATTTTATCTTTCAGAGCAGGTGGTGTCTTATACACCTTTGTTTTGTCTAAAAGGAATCTGGGACAATATGGAAAGTTTGTGTTTCTGAATGAGAAATGGTTGGAATTTTCCATGTTTCTTAAAATGCCTTAATGAAATCAGTGCTGACCTGTTAAAGTGCCTTTGTTGCTGCCTTGGTTCTGCCTTTTACCACTTTCTCACCATAATGTTCTCTCTCTTGAAGTAATTATGGTGCTTAACATGTAGTGCAGTGCCAAATGCTGCTCTGATCTCTAAGAGACACCATCACTGTGGTAAATATTCCTTGGAATGGTGATAGATGGAATTGTTCTGGCTGGAGGTGAACAGGTCTTGTCTGATTTGGTTCTAAAAAGATGTTTGATCCCAGTTCTGAAACCTCACTGTTTTTTCTGGGCTACTGATAGCTTGGAAGGAATTATATAAACATACAGACTGAATTTCCTTAGGAAACAGGGTAAAAAATAGTGGAATTAGCTGGATTTACGGGTGATGACTTGTTAAACATCCACATATCCCCTTCCACAAATCACCCCTGTAGTCAGGGGAGAAAGCAAGTGTATAACCAGGAATAAATCTGGTTGTTTAGTTGACATAATACTTTAAAGCTGAAATCCCATTTGGAGTGGGTACTCATTCCCAGTGTTCCTCATGACTTTGATTCCTGAAATACCATTCCATGGATAATTTCTCCCATTTGTGGGGGAATTAGGTCTGACTTTGCCTCTGTTCCATCCAGTCCCAACTGCAATAGGATAATCTTTGCCAGTAATCCTAGTGCAGTAATCTCTGCATTGAATTTTTCTGGCATGCTTAACATCCATGGAAGAACAGATTGGAATCCCAGCTGGGATGAAGAGGTGATTTGTGTCATGAAGAGAATTCAGTAAGTGCCATGCAGTTTAGAACAGGTCCTGTGGACTCACCAGGGTTCTCTATTTGACTCCTCTTTGCTGCACAGGTGATATCCAGAGCAATCTCTGACACTGGAGAGCTGATTTCACTCTCCAGATTCCATATCCCAATTTTTCTGTCAGGCTCCTTGTGTTCTGGGGGAACAGCTAGCAAAGCCTTTCAGGCTTTGATAAGGTGACAGCTTTCCCTGTTGGCTTGCTGATACCTTAGCATTTTATTCACATGAGCCAAAATACCTTGAAAACATTCCCAGTTTTTAAAAATATGTATTCCTGGCATGTGTTTCTCCCTGGGAGTCTGGAGACCAAGCCAGGAGTCTCACATGTAGGACTGGCAAGGCACAAAAAGAATGACCTAAAGGAATCTACGACATAAAAGCTGAAGTCCTCCACACCTTTTATTTTTTCCAGCATTAAAGTAGCCTCTTATTTACATATCCCAAGTTTTCCTGCTTGGAAATTATATCAGATGGAATTGAAATGGTTTGGGCAGAACAAACCAGGACAGTGTTCTGTGAGAGGCTCAGCAAGGGTGGGGATGGGGTTTTCCCTCCCCTAGCAGCACAGCTTTGGGAGAGGGAAGGTTATCCCAAAGCTTAATCAAACAATTTAGGTTAATTGCCTACTAAAATCAACTGATCTTTCCAGCCGTCTGTATTCTAGGAATGCTGCAAACCCCGGTGATTAATTCCATGAGCTGAAATCCCTTGCCCTGTCAGAGTGACACAGATGAGAGCTCCCAGTTTCATTTTGAGCACTGATTGTCATCTGCTCTATCAGCACATGGTGATGTATAGGGTGAATTCATATTTCTGCCTTGTTTGAGGTACCCATAAGGCTCTCCTTGAGCTCTGGGACTAGGCTCCTATGGCTTTTAGGGTTAAATCATGCTGATTTAAATCATTTGCCTCATGTCTGGTGCCTGAGTGCATCAGTTGTGCATTGGCCTTATCCACCCAGAGATTTACCCTCCCATGAGCCATCAGATCCTGCAGTTTAATGTGGCAGGTTGTTCAAGGAAGTAATTTTCTAGAGCTACTATATCTCAAACACAGTGGATTATCATTATGGAATATCCTTAGAACCCCAGACAGCTGTATTCCATCAGTCCCTAATAAAGTTAGTGCTTGCACAGACCCAATATGTAGCAATACTGACACCAGAGTTAAAATGATGACCCTATTTCCTTCTACTTGCATGGGATGCACTTTTCCTTATAGATAACTGCAATTCCTCTAATATTTCTTCCCAAAATAATTTAGACCTATTTTTTTTCAGTTTGGAATTCCAATTGCAACAAATTGATTATATATGAAACAAATATTATATATATCTAAATTTTATATATACATGAAACAAAGACATTTTGCAATGTCCAATTTAAAGCCTAAAATTCTACCGTGGGGCCACAGATTAATGTGTCACATCACTTTCTGAAGTTGGGGTGAATTGTGCAGCAAAATATAAACCATTTGGGAGGTGTTAGGTGACTAAAAGAACTGTCTGTGACAGGGTTTGGAGTGGAGGAGAAACCAAGCCTTGGGCACATGCCATTGCTGCAATGTTAATTACTTCTGTGGTTCATGGCATGCTGTACTTTATTTTTCTCCCTCTTCTGCGTTGTCCTATACTTTAGTCCCATTCTTCCAGCTGAAAGCCATGTTAAATCATTGAATGTTAAGGGATTGGAATGGAGCTTAGAGTTTATCCAGTCCCACCCCCTGCCCTGGGCAGTGACACCTCCCACCAGACCAGACTGCTCAAGGCTTTATCCAACCTCACTTTGAACACTGCCATGGTTAGGGCAAAGGACTTTGTCCTTGTGTGTTATCCCTCTCTTCTCTGCCAGTCATTAAAACTACAGTCCAGTTCTCTCATATTCTGTGGATTCTCAGAGATGGGCTCTGGTAATCCATTCACACAAATCCATATGCTTAGCTGCCATTACCTATCTGGTACTTCCTTCTCTGTGCTAAGAAAAATCCCTCCAATTCCACCAAGTCAGCACTGTGAAACTGACTGTGGGCATAGTACATGCTCCTATATTTTTTAAGCCCTTGCTCTTTCTTTTCCCCCCTTCTTCTTTTCCCCCCTTTGGATCTGGTATAGATCTGATCTCTGTGGTGTGATGAGAAGTGCTTGTGAACCAGGATTTATGTGCTCCAAGTCTGAGAGGAAAACTCCATTTTTAATAGCTGATGTGTTATAAGTTTCCCCCAAATTTTCCCTCTTATTCAACTGAAAGAGAGCAGTAACCTCTCTTGAACCTGTGAGGTTTATGAGTCAGTAGCATATCAAGGAGAGCATTTCCCCACTGTACACAGGTGTCTCGGGTGCAAATAAGCTCATTTGGATGGTTAAAAATTGCCATAATTATTAGGAATGCTTAGGGGGTGATGTGGTGCTAATTTCTTTCCAGATAGATCAGATCAAAGACACTTTGATGAAAAAACTACATTCTTATGGATTGGTTGTGGCTTTTTATGAGACCAATAAAACCTGTGAGCAGCAGTGAAAGCAGGAAAACTTAAAAGAGAATTCTGTGAAGCCTTTGAAAGGAAATTCAGGAGAAAGAGGTGGAGCCACAAGTCTGAAACCTAAATGATTCCAAGTCATTTGAAAGCTCCGTGTCTGCCAGGCACCATCAGCATAATTCTTGTGTCCTGAAGTCCTGGTAAAAATTCTTTCAGGAATGTCAGTATTGATATATCAGTCAGTATTGACTGGTTTAAGCACTAACATCTTCATATGAAGCTGCAGAGCTGTTGTTACTGCAGAGCACAGAGGCTGTGTTACTGAAAATCCATGTGTTAGCACCTCCAGAGTATCCTAAATCCAAGGTGGTTGCACAGTGTGTGTGTTGGTCAGTGATGGATGAGGGGAGTGAGGCCCTGGCCTGAGGAGATCCATGATTGCACCTCATGGGTTCCCCTGAGTCTCTCCCAGTCTGTGCTTTGCCTGTGCCTTTCCCCACAATCCATAATTCTCCTCAGTTTTTGACCTTTTCCTTTTAAGTAGGACAGAGTTTGGTAATGGAATCAGTGAATCATACCCAGTTCTCCTGTGCTCTGCAGTCAAATAAAGGTACAAACTGGACTAAAAACACCCAAAAAAAGCACAAAATCTTGTCCTTTCTCCTCCTCCACCACAGACTTCTCTGAACTCCCTGAATTCAAGTGTTCCAATGAGTCATGCCAAGCATCAAACTATGTAAAATATGCACTGAAAGGTTTTTATTCTGTGAACTTCAATTTCTTTCTCTGAATTAGTACAACAAAACCCTTTACTGTACAGAAAGAGTTCCAAAATTACTTTGGAACAGTTTGAAACAGAAGTTGGGGTTTTTGTTGGGTTTTTTTTTTTGTTTTTTGTTGTGTTTTTTTTTTTTTTTTTTTTTTTAAGGATGAAATGTCAAAAGCAGGAGAAAATCCAGAATGGTTCTTACTGTAAGGATTTGTCTTGGCATTGCTACTGTGAGAGGTTTGGCCACAAAGTATTCAGACTATTGAATTCCTTACCTTGGGGAGGTCTGTGCCACTGGATACCTGCAGGATCTGTGCTTGGAAGAGCCTGGAGAATATCTGTGAAGCAGAAATGAGAACAAAGAATACTTTGGAAACTGCTGGTCCAGGGGGTGGGGTGGGATGAGATGAGCTTTATGGTCCCTTCCAACCAAAACAATTCCATGTTTATAATATTACCCGTAATGGTTAATTGTAACAGAAGATGGAAGGAATATCAAATTGTTTCCATTTTAGTGCCTCAGGATTAGGAATTAGAACATCCACTCTGTGGAGGTGGCAAAGAGCTGCCAATTGTCCACTGGAAGGTAAACTTTGTGTGCCTAAGATGAGCTTTATGGTCCCTTCCAACCAAAACAATTCCATGTTTATAATATTACCCGTAATGGTTAATTGTAACAGAAGATGGAAGGAATATCAAATTGTTTCCATTTTAGTGCCTCAGGATTAGGAATTAGAACATCCACTCTGTGGAGGTGGCAAAGAGCTGCCAATTGTCCACTGGAAGGTAAACTTTGTGTGCCTAAGAAGGATCTAGTTGTAGTGACCTCCAGGAACCAGGAGCTAAGCCTGACTGAACTACAGGTTTCACCTAGTGCTGTAGCACATTTGCTTTTAAGCTAAACTTTAGGAATACTTTCCGTGAAATTATCTTAATTTACTTTGCTTGGAAACCATTTAAAAAAGGGAGAAACAGCAAAGTGAAAGCAATTGGTTACAATTTCTGCCTGGGTTTTTTGCCTTTTTCATTAATTAATTGTATTCATTTGGTAAATAAACCTTATCCATATAGACAGAGTGATTGAGATATAGATCTATGTTGAAGTATTGGCAAAAATAGTGTTTTGTTGTGGTTTGTTTTTCCCTTGTAGATCAGAACTGTCAGTGGGAGATGTACCCACAGCCTCTCTCAAGGAGCCTCTGAGGGTTGCTGAGTGTCACTGCAGTGACAATGACACATGTGAGTGCCTTGTGCCTTCTCTGAGACTCAACCACACTTACCTCATGTGGCTGAAGATGGTGGTTAGTGCAACACCTCTGTGGTCACCTTTGATGTCAGTCAAGCCCATTGACATAGGTAAGTAGGACCTATATTTCAAATCATATTAATGGTTGGACTTGATGATTAGAGTTCTCTTGCAACCTTGATGAGTCTGTGATTCTACTGGAGAACAGTAGCAGTGTCACCCCTGGAGATGGAAAGCACAGACAGGACAAGGAAAAGTCTTTCTGGTGCTGGAGACATTACTCACTGCCTAATGCTTGTCTGGGCTCTGGTGCAGTCAATATAGTTATTTCTAGTTCTCTCCTTTCTAATCAGGACCTCTCTGAGCCTGGGGCTGTAGTGAAGCTTATCTGTGTTGCTGAGGACTTAAATTACAAAGCGAGGGGGGAAAATAGCTGCTCCTAAAGTAACTTAACATATAAACCACCTCTTTCTCTAAGCATCTTTGTCCTGATACTTCTTCCTTACACATCCAATACCAGCTGGACAACATTCCCCTGAATTTGATCAAGATAAAACTACACTGACATTCTGAACTTAATATGTGTTGCTAGAAGTTATTGCAGTTTTTAGGCAAATTTCCTAAAGGCAAAAGCTCTGACAGCTGTGAGGAGTTTCATAAACTTCTTATTAACCTAAAAACTGAGAGAATTTTATAACCTTCTTTCTCACTGATGTGTTTTGCAGACAGAACCAGTTAAAAATCTCTGGGTGGGCTAGTTTGAAGTTGCATTTTCCCTGCTGCTTTTAAATGATGCTCCAGGAAACAATTAAACATTCAAACTCAGTTCTGCCAGTGTTTCAAATAACATGATGAGTTAGTTCTGCTTAGTGAAGTATGGTTTAAAACTGCATCATATTAGTATGTGTTGTGCCAAGATTTAGCTCAATTCAACTACTGTTGAAAGTGAAAACTATGAATACTTGTGGGTTATTTGGTTATAGGAGAGCAGGTGGTATCAGAACAACCATCATCTTCTGTGTGCAGAAAGTGGGAGCTGAGTCATCAGGCTGTGATGGAAAAGCCACTGACTTGTTCTGCCTCTTCCCAAGTCACTCCCTGCTGGGCTTCATTAAGTTAATTGTTCTGGGATGGGTTATAAGTAATAATTAGATAAGATCTGACTTAGTGCAGTGGATTTATACTGAAAATAACAACAGGTTTGGGGTATAGCTGAGTGAGATTCCACTTAAAGGAGACACCTTGGAGGGCTGGACACCCAGTGCACATGGAACTCAAAGGGAACACAGCTCAAACCCCTTGGACTGTTTTCTCTTCAGCTTTTACACATGCTGTTTAACTGCAGTGGTTTGTAACAGGATTTCACTCTTGCCTGGGAGCAACTCAGAGCTGTGAGGACAAGGCCAGCCAAAAGTCATTGTTTCTGATGTGAAAAGCTCTCAGAAACAGGCAAAAAGGTCTGAATTCCTTGCCTTTGTCCCAGGAAGCATGAATGTAATCCCACTGATCATTCTCCATTGCCCATCCATTTATCTCTCAAGGCAGTGCTAGTGCTCTTCATCCGTGTGGAAATTTCTAAAACCTCAACTTGTACTTTGCCCTAAGGTAGGTTTTCTGGAGATCTTCTCTCATAGCCATAATCTCTGTGGAAGAATGGGGAATACTTAGCAATCATAGTATGTTAAGGGGTTGGAATGGAGCTTAGAGATCATCCAGCCCCAACCCCCTGCCCTGGGCAGGGACACCTCCCACCAGAGCAGGTTGCTCAAGATTTTATCCAACCTGGCTTTGAACACTGCCAGGGTTGGGGCAGCCACAGCCTCCCTGGGCAACCTGTGCCAGTGCCTCACCACCCTCACAGGGAAGAATTCCTTCCTAACATTTCATCTGGGATTCCCTCTGGCAGTGGGAAGACATTCCCCCTTGTCCTGTCCCTCCAGACCCTTCTCCAAAGTCCCTCTGCATCTTTCTTGGAGCCCCTTTAGGCACTGGAAGGGACTCTAAGGTCTCCCTGGATCCTTCTCTTCCCCAGGCTGAACACCCCCAGCTCTCAGCCGTTCATAATTTAATGGAATGTTAAGGGATTGGAATGGACCTTAGAGACCATCCAGTGCCAACCCCCTGCCATGGGCAGGGACGTCTCCCACCAGACCATGGTGCTCAGGGCTTTATCCAACCTGGATTTGAGCACTTTCAGGGGAAAAAAATAATCCTTGTGTACAACGTGAGGACATTATCTCCTGTCTCCTAAGGAGCAAATTGATTTGCTCAGCACTCCCATCCCTCTCTGACACATTCCCTCTTTTCAGCCAGACAGGTCAGTCAGTACTTGGTTACTGGGAACGGCCCAAGGCAAGAAATTCATGTAGATTTAAGACAAACCTCAGGTCGAGCAGCATTTCTTGATAGCTGACTGTGTAACAGTGCTGGGCTGGACTTTTGCACTCACATTACATGACATCACTGTCATATAAAAGCTGCAGAGCAGCTGTTGAACAGAGTTGCAAGAGAAGGTGTGAAAGAGAATTGTTCCTCAGTAAAACCATCAGTCACAGGCAATGAGTTAGGGCTAAATCTGTCCATTAATTTGTCTCCAGTGAAGCCTGAACCTCCCATGAACCTGCACCTGGAAATGACAGACGGAGGGCAAGTGAGGATCTGCTGGGCTGAGCCTGTGCTGCCATTCCCGCTGCAGTATCAAGTGAGGATCTCTGCAAGCTCAGAGCCCAGTGGGTGGCAGGTGAGGCATTTCTATGTGCCTGGATTCACCATGGAGCCCTGCAGGTCTGTGGGGCTCTCCCAGGATTTCTCACCATCTTTCATGTCCAGGCAGTGGCTCTGGTGGGTTGAGAAGCAGGACTGGTGTGGTGGAGCTGGACATGGCACACTGGTTTCTCCCGAGCTGGGAAAGCTGGACTTCACTCTGTAAACTGATGAAAGACCCATCTCCTGTTTGGTCTTACAAACAAACTGCCTCCTTTCTCCTTGGATGAAATCCTAGATCCTGTGAAGACTAAAGGCAAAGCCTTTTCCTTTCAGCAACACCCAAATTCCATGATATATGTGTATCTGTTCAATATTTATGACTTTTATTATTGCTGTTTCTACCACCCAACTGGCTCTGGAATATAAAGCAGCTGTTAATTAGCAATTCATAATGAAATAACTCATTTTCCACAGAGTTATGCAACTTCTAACATTACCAAATTTACAGTCAATGTAAAGAAAGTTTTTTTTTTTTTCTACCTAAAAACTGCTCTCTAGGCTATTTTGGTTCCCCCTGTCTCTTTCTTTTTTCCTCTTCCATTATGCAACAATAATGGCTTGTGATAATCCAACAGATGCTTCAAGTTGCTCTAGAAACATCTATGGCCATTGACAATGCTCTTCTTGATTCTTCATGCTTGGTACAAGTGAGGTGCAGGAGAGACCCTGGTCCAGGGTTCTGGAGTGACTGGAGCACAGCATATGATCTCAGTTTGGGAGGTAGGTCTCCTGCACTCGGAAGTCTTTTGGAACAGGACTGATTTCCCTGTTTGGATTTATGGAATGAGTATTTGAGAGCAAGTGCTATCCAGGGAGTATAGGATGGGCTGTGGAAATTCTTTCCCCTTCTGTTCCCTCCTTGTCTGATGTTGCCTGAGGCTCTTTGCTCAGCACAAGACTTGCTTTGAGAGCTCAGGATGACACATGCAGACTGAACCACCTGCTCCAGACACCTCTTTGGCTGTGCCTTGCTCACCCAGCACCTGCCAGACCCAGAGAAAGCTCTTTTTCTAAGAGTTTTTCCACTCCAAAAGACACTTGGCAGTGCTGAACCTCTACTCAGTGCAAGATTTTTCTCCTTCAGCTTTCTCTCACTCCTAGTTTAGGCTTTGCAGCTGAACTAAACACACACAAATACACATTTAACCTAGTCCATCCCTGTGTCGTGCTGAGCCCTGTGCACAAACTGAGTTTCTGATCGTTTTGTATTGCATTTTGCCATGTTCTGTTTAGGATTAGCTGGAAATAGTTTGGTTTGTGCTGTCCCAAGTATCCTCTGAACCATTATATCCAATCCTAGTGCTTTACCTGAACTCTCATATGGACACCTGGTACAGCATGATAGCATAATGTGTGTGCTTAAACCAAGTACTAAACTTTGGAAAAGGAGCTTTTCTTCCAAGAAAACTGAGAAAAACATGAAATAAACCTAAAACCTGACACAATTGCCTTCATGGCAATAAAGTATGAAACACAGGTTGCCTGATTATAGGCCTAGAGGCCTAACTGGCCCTTAGTCCCTTGGATTTATGTCTAAATAACTAAATAAATAAATATAAATTATAAAAAAGTGAGTGTGCACATACATGTATGTATATATTTGAGAATTTTTGGAGGTAAATACACATTTTCTTTCTCTCACACATCCATACATTGATATTTTCAGACAAGGTTTAAGAGTGCCTTGAGAAGAATGGATTTAAAAGTGAGACCTGGAGCTTTCCTGAGTGATGGAGCTTGAGTTTATGCATGTTTGCACCCTTGCTAAATTCAGGGTCTTTCTGCCTAGTGAATTCCTTCCTGTATCACTGCTACAGTTTGGTGTTTATTGGATAAGAACTCACCATGAGCTGCAGTGTGAACTGGAAGCTCAGAAAACCAGTGGAATCCTGGGCTACATCAAAGGAAGTATGGACAGCAGGTCAAAGGAGGTGATTCTTCCCCTCTACTCTGCTCTTGTGAGACCCACCTGGAATACTACACACAGTTCTGATGTCCTCAACATAAGGAGGACATGGAACTGTTGGAGCAAGTCCAGAGGAGGCCACAAAGCTGATAAGAGCACTGGAGCATCTTCCCTATGAGGACAGGCTGAGGGAGTTGTGGCTGTTCAGCCTGGAGAAGAGAAGACTGTGTGGAGACCTCAGAGCAGCTTTTCAATATCTGAAGGGGCTCCAGGGGAGTTGGAGAGGGATGACTCTTGGTTAGGAGCTGCAGTGACAGGACAAGGGGTAATGGGTTCAAACTGAAGCAGGGAAAGTCTAGGTTGGATGTGAGAAGAAGCGTGGTGAGACACTGGCACAGGTTGCCCAGGGAGGCTGTGGCTGCCCCAACCCTGGCAGTGTTCCAAGCCAGGTTGGCTAAAGCCTTGAGCAGCCTGTTCTGGTGGGAGGTGTCCCTGCCCAGGACAGGGGGTCGGGACTGGGTGATTTCTAAGCTCCATTCCAATCCCTAAATTCTATGATTCTAGTTACACTACTAAGCCTGGAAAACAGGTTTTGGGACATTAATGTATTGCTGACTTTGGTAGGAGCAGGAATAGCAATTCCTGGAAATACTGGTTCATTTTATCCTGTTTTCCTTGTGCTGTCACTGTGTCTTCCAGTTATATTCTGCTCTTTTAATTCAGGTTTGCCTGGAGATATTGGGGTTTATTGTTGTCAGAACTGAGAAACATCATGTATGGAGGGAAACAATCCAAGGCTCAGGTCCTGCCCCTCTGCCCTGTAGTTGTTGATAGTGATTAATAAGTAGGAAAGTTAGAAATACAATTGGATGATGATTATAATGTAATAATAAAATTTAAATTTGTTCTTGTTCCTATTGTTCCTCTTCTTGTTCTTGATCTTCTTCTTCTTCTTGTTTCTCTTCTTGTTTCTCTTCTTGTTCCTCTTCTTCTGATGATGATTATCACTATTAATTGACAAAAGCCTTTATGTTGCTTTGGTTGAGTTTCTAACTCAATATATTTTCCCCCTTTCTTTCCCTTCTGTGCAGCTGAAGTCCTGTACTTCCCTCCCAAGCTCCTGACCAGTGTTGGCTCTAACACTTCCTTTCAGTGCATCTATAAACACCAAAGCAAGACTGTAGCATCCAAGGAGGTTGTTTGGTGGCTGAACTTAGCCGAGGAAATCCCAGCAAGTCACTATACCCTTGTGAGCGATCGCGTAAGCAAAGTTACTCTTTTCAACTTGAAAGCAACCAAACCTAGAGGAACTTTCTTCTATAACACATTGTACTGTTGTCACCAAAATAGGGAATGTCATCCTAGATACGCTGAATTATATGTAGTAGGTAAGATTCCAGATGATTTTCAATTCTCATTTTGGGGCATTTTAATGGCAAGGTTGGAATATTTCCATGTAAAACTCCACTTAGCTTTCATTGACCAGTTATGACTTGCAACATGTTGTTTGTATAAATCACTTTATCTTTATTAATAAGCTTTCTATGTGTTTCAAATAGACATGAATATTAATATCACTTGTGAAACTGATGGATACTTAACCAAAATGACTTGCAGATGGTCTGCAAACCCCAACACATTGCTGTTGGGGTCTTCCTTGCAGTTAAGATACTACAGGTAAGCAGAGCTTTTACTTCCCTCTTTATGACTGAAAATCTTTGCTCAAAATACTCTTGCAGCAAAGAATTCTGAATAAATTGATCATTATTTATTATCATTTCTTATATAGCAGTATATTTGCTTAATGGTTGGAATTGATGGTCTTGGAGGTCTCTTCTAGCCTTGACGATTCTATGATAATAACTGTAATTTTAAAATTACAGTTTCTGAAAGGTAGATTATTCCCAACTGGAACTCCAGAGGGACAACTGCATGTGCAGGAAGGGAACCATAGATCATAGAATTATAGAATGTTAAGGGGTTGGAACAGAGCATAGAGATCATCCAGCCCCACCCCCTGCCCTGGGCAGGGACACCTCCCACCAGAGCAGGTTGCTCAAAGATTTATCCAACCTGGCTGTGAACACTGCCAGGGTTGGGGCAGCCACAGCTTCCCTGGGCAACCTGTGCCAGTGTCTCACCACCCTCAAGCAAAATCTTCTTCCTGATATCTAATCTAAATTTCCCTCTTTCAATTTATCCCCATTCCTCCTTGCCCTGTCACTGCAGCTCCTAACACAGAGTCCCTCTGCAGCTCCTGGAAGGTGCTATGAGGTCTCCACACAACCTTCTCTTCTCCAGGCTGGACAGTTTGCTTGGAACAGCTATGGAAATTATTATATTTGCTCCTCTACAGACAGTAAGGAAATAAGGAAAAGGCCCATTCACAGCGAGTATCTGAGCACTGGAGCAGTGGCACAGAAGGGCTGTAGAATCTCTGCCCTTGGAGACTCTCAGGTCCCAACTGGACAGGACCCTGAGCTGTTCCATTTGAATTTAACATCCAGTGGAACAGCTCCCCAGGGTCATCATGTCAAACCTGCCAGAGCTCAAGGAGTGTTTGGCCAATGCTCTCAGGCACAGGGTGGATTGTTGGGGTATCCTGTGCAGGACTTGGACTTGGACAGGATGATCCTTGTGGGTCCTTCCGACTCAGGAGATTCTGTGATTCTGTGATTTGACTTTAATCCTGCTCTGAGACTGAGGTATCTCTGGAGACCTCAAGAGATCTCAAGTCCTTGAGACCTCTTGGAGTCTCCATTCCATCTTTGACTTTGCTATAATTCTGTATCTTTTTTTCTATATACAACAGATAAACATATAGGTATGAAATAAATTCATTCCAGATGCAAAAAAAATCTTGCTTAGAGAATCAAATCTCAGTTCATGAAGGGAATATTCCTTTATGAAGTAGCACCTTTGGCTACAGCAATTCAGAGAATCCCAGACTGGTTTGGGTTGGAAGGACCTTAAAGCTCATCTCATTCCACCCCCTGCCATGGGCAGGGACACCTTCCACCAGACAAGGTTGCAAGGCACTGATAGATTGAGCTTAAGAGTTTCCTAGAACCACTTCAGCCTTTATATAAACAAGACAGACAGACAGACAGACAACCCTTCCTGGGGTAAAATATCTCTAGTTTTACTGCTGTCCTGGACTGGATATGAAGAAATGTTGGCAAATAACCTCCATCAGCCCTGAGGACCTAATTCTTTGGAAAAGCAGAATGTCTTCTCTGTTGGAGGTGAACTGAAGTTCTGAACTATCCTAGGACCCAGGTGAACATGTCTCAGGGCTTTTTGGACTAAAGGGCAATGCTTGAAATTTCCAGTGGAGGCATTGAGGGCAGGATTAGTGCCTGGCTGAGTGCTGTGATAGGTTTTGTTTCAACTGTCTTCACAAATATTAATATAATGAGTGTCCTGGAAATAAACCCCATGCTGCTCTTGCCATGGGTGTTATTCCCACTTTTTCCCTGTCTTGAGAATGTTATTTTCTAGCTGGAGGTGATAATCTGCACATTTGTTAGTGTTCCTCCTAGATCAAACAGTGACTTCAATACCAACTGTAAATGCTTCCCAGATGCTGGTGCTGATTGTGATCCTCCTCTTTGTTCTTTCTTCTGGTTGTTTGTTCCTAGTAAGAGATGAAAGAGGAAAAATGAAGTTATGAGTTACTGCTGCTGTTACATTTTGGAGCAGAACTGCAGCACTGCAGTGCAGTGTGTGATTGCTTGGCTGTTGAGGCTTTGTTTGGGTTAGGTTGTTACTACATCTTCCTCTGCTGCCAACAGAAACAGCTCTGGAAGGATCATCCTGTGGGAACAGGGAATGCCAAGCTAAACCTCCAAGGCACAAGGCACCAGTTTAATCAGTGTGGACAGGAAGAGGAGAGTCAGCTGAGTGTAACTTTTGTGGTTCAGCTGAGTAACTAACACCCTCTCTGGCCCCTCTCACCACAGGTCTGAGCTGTGCACAAGCTTAGCAGAAATAAGAAGAAATTCCAAAGCTTTCCATCTCCACTAAGTCATCCAGAGTCATTTTATCCACAATCCAGGTCTCCTCTCTTCTGTTGCCAGGTGTGATACTGACTGGATGTGTGATTGTAACAGCACCCCCCAGGACTGATAATTTTATGGGATTTCTGTCTCCTGGAGACCTCTTGGACTTGTCTGATTGCTCTGTGTGGCAGCTTTCCCCTGGATGCCAGTTGGTCTTTTGGAAGAAATTCCTGGCTGGAGTAAACTCTTGGCAGGAGATGTGCCTTGCTGTGTTTATTGCTATCAAGTGACATGATTGATGAGTGTTTGGAGCTGTCTCTCTTGCTGTACCTGTTCTTTCTTGTCCTTAGCCTCTTATCAAAACATTCTGCACTGGGGGGAGCCTTCATGTCCTGCTTTTTTCCAGGCAAAGAGCCAAAGCTTTGAGGAGTGACACTGCAGACCTATTTATCCATTCAGGATATGTCCAAATAATAATCAAAAACTATGATGATTCCAGTGACACTGTTTAATTACCTCCAGACTTCTCTTTTCCTGCTGCCATGAGCAGCTTAAAGTTGATTTAACTGTGGGTTTTCTTGTCTTTTAAGGAGCCAAATCTATTGCTCTGACTTGCCAAGTCCATCTCCAAACTCAGAGGTGAAGGAATGCCATTTCCAGAAGAATCACACCTATGAGTGCACATTTCAGCCTATTTTCCTTTTATCTGGATACACCATGTGGATAGAGTTGAAGCACTTCTTAGGAACGCTTGAATCCTCACCAACCTGTGTCATTCCAGCAGATGTGGGTAGGTGGAGATCCTTCCCTTGTGACCTTGGGTTTCAGGCCTTAGATGGTGTTGATAAAGTGCTTTTTCACAGCATTTTTTTGTAAATCAGATTGTGGAAACAGCATAAAACCATAAGAGCTTTGAATAGTCTTTGAAAAGACTTTGGAGCCAATGTTATTTCCATTCACTGACAGCAGCATGTTGTAACTGCAGTTAATACCTGTAAAATGAATCATTTTTCAGAGCTAATTTGTCTTCAGTTAGGTTTATGTTTTGATTATATGCATTATTTACACCTTTATATATTCATTTAAACCTGCTGGGACTGTTCATGCTCCTCCATGCCTGTGCCAAGTTTGTTTTGTGGCACACACAGGACTTAAACCTGTATAAAAACAAGAGGCTTTTCAAACACTGCAAAGAACAAATTATTAGCTGCTCCTGGACTTGGAGCTGAGGGTTCTTGAATACACGTGTAAAAATATGTGAGAGCAATCAAGACATTTGAACCAGAGGTGCTACATGCAATAAACGTCTCATTCTGGTGGAGAAGCTCCACTTGGGTGGAATTTCCCAAGAGTATAATAAAAGCTTTACATTTCCATTCACCACTGCATAAAGTTATAGGTTGGACTTGGACAAGATCTTAGAGATCTTTTCCAGCCTGATTGATTGTGTCTGTGATTCTCTGACAATCCTTTATAGGAAGCTTGTTCTGCCAAGGTGTGCTGCTGCTTTCAGCACTCCATTAGAATCATGGAACCATTCAGGTTGGAAAATCCCTCTGAGCCCATTGAGTCCAACCATCCCCCAGCACTGCCAAGGCCACCACTAACCATGTCCCCAAGTGCCACATCCACATTGGCTGTTAAATCCCTCCAGGGATGGTGACTTCACCACTGCCCTGGGCAGCCTCATGCCCCCAAGGGCCACATCCACATTGGCTGTTAAATCCCTCCAGGGATGGTGACTTCACCACTGCCCTGGGCAGCCTGTTGCAATGTCTGACCACACTTTCCATGAAGAAAGTTTCCCTAATATCCAACCTAAACCTCTAAACCTGCTTCCAGGCTCTCTCTTTTGCTGTCTGTCCCAGGGCAGGTGCCAGGTGTCAGCACCAATATAATCTTTTGTGCTTTAAATGAAAATGAAATGCACTGAAGCCATGGAATCCTCGGTTTCCAGCCCAGTCCTGCTTTCCTTGGAATAGCAGAGGCCACAACATGTTACCTGCCACCCCCAAGCCAAGGAAAAAAGCAATCCATGATCACAGGATTTAATGAGAGATGTCAGTGCAGAATTACAGTCATGTTTTCCCTTTCAATTTTCCAGTAAAGCCTCTTCCCCCCTCCAACGTTGGAGCAGAACTGACCAGGAATGTTGGGATGCTGAATGTGAGCTGGACAAACCCCATCTTCACCAACAGGGATCTGCAATTCCAGATTCAGTATGCAGTGAGCAGGGAAGACATTCCATGGCAGGTACTGTCTGTTTGGATCTGGATTGGAGCAGGAATCATTGCAGTGTTAGTGTGTTAACTGGGTTTTGTGGCATGGAATAAATCACAGGTATGCCCCAATCCTGGCAGTGTTCAAAGCCAGCTAAAGCCTTGCCTTGAACAGCCTGGTCTGGTGGGAGATGTCCCTGCCCAGGGCAGGGGTTGGGGCTGGATGATCTCTAAGCTCAATTCAAAACCCTTAACAATCTATGACACTGTGAAAGGCTGAGAGCTGGAGATGTTCAGCCTGGAGAAGAGAAGCTCAGGGAGACCTCAGAGCCCCTTCCAGTGCCTAAAGGAGCTCCAAGAGAGCTGCAGAGGGACTTGGGACAATGGCTTGGAGGGACACAACACAGGGAATGGCTTCCCACTGACAGAGGGAAACCCAGATGGGATATTGGGAAGGAATTGTTCCCTGTGAGGGTGGTGAGACACTGGCACAGGTTGCCCAGGGAGGCTGTGGCTGCCCCAACCCTGGCAGTGTTCAAAGCCAGTTTGGATGAAGCCTTGAGCTTCATCCAAAGCTCAGGGCAGGGGATGGGACTGGATGAACTCTAAGCTCCATTCCAACCCTGTAACATACTGTGACTATCTAATAATAATATTACTGACTACACTTCCTCATTGTGTTATTTTTGAGGAATTTTGACTCTGGGAGACACCTAAACAGCTTTTTGTTTTTCTTTTGAATTTTTTGGCTTGTGTCGCAGCTTTATGAGGTGCCCCAGTCCCCAACCAGCTCAGCTGTGATACCAGTTGAGCAGCTCTGTGTGGAATACATTGTCCAGGTGCGCTGCAGGGAGCCACGTGGATCCAGGACATGGAGTGATTGGAGCAGCTCAGCCAGAACACTTGTGCAGGACATCAGTGGTGAGTGTGTCCTCAGAAGCAATCTGGATGGTCATTTGCACACTGAACTGTAGCACTGATCCTCTAAATCTATTATCCTACAGCTCCCTTGCAAGGCCCTGAGTTTTGGAGAGTTGTCACTGAAGATCCAGCCAGGAGGCAGAGAAATGTGACTCTCCTGTGGAAGGTGAGAGCAGAGACATTTTGGTCTTTGATTTGGATCAAAAAACTAGGGAGAAATGCCAAAAAGGGTGTATGGCAAGCACATGCTTCCCTGAGAGGCAAACTCGGGCAGTCACTGCTTATGGGAGTTGGGATCTGCCTTGTGCAGGGGAGGGCTAAGCACTGACCTCTTCTCTCTGTGACCAGGAGCAGGACCCAAGGGAGTGGCCTGAAATTGTGTTAGGAGAGGTTTAGCTTGGATATTAGGAAGAGATTCTTTCCCCAGAGGGTGTTTGAGCACTGGAACAGCTCCCCAGGGCAGTGGTCACTGCCCCAAGTCTGACAGAGCTCAGGGAGTGTTTGGCCAATGCTCTCAGGCACAGGGTGGATTGTTGGGGTGTCCTGTGCAGGGGTGAGACTTGGACTGGGTGATCCTTGTGGATCCCTTCCAACTCAGGAGATTCCATGATTCCATGATTTTTTTTGTGTGTTCATGCTTCTAATCCTAGAGGCTAGTGGTAGATCCTGGTTGTAATGCTGGGATGCAATGGGACATGGTTTGTCCTTCTTTGTGTTCAAAGGTTTTTGTGAGACAGAGGGGAAGAGTCCCTCAGTGCCTGCTCACTCCTGTTTGCCCATGTCCAGTGTGCAAACACCTGTCCTGAAAAATGCTGATGTAAAAAGGGAAATACTGCAGAGTCTGGAAGTTTGGATTTCATTGTCCTCCTGCATTCTGTTTGTTGGGAAGAGAGGGGGTGTCAGCTCTGAGAGAGGGGCACAAGGAATGAAGTCTTTATGTGGACTCCTTGGCTAAAAGGACAGGAGCCAGGCTAGAGAATGTCTCTATTGGGTCATGTTTCTTACCACTGAAGCTTCCCAAACAACCTTTGCTTTGGAATTCCAAGACTGGGGAATTAATTATTACCCGTGTTCACCACAGCCACTGATGAAGAACCGCTCGTTGTGCAGTGTGAGCCAATACATCATCAGGCACCAGACATCAGGAAACACCTCCTGGGCAGACTATGTTGACCATGGCACCACCTGGTCATTTCCATGGATGGAGGACACACACACCATCACAGTTTTAGCCATGAATTCCATTGGAGTTTCTTCAGTTAACTTCAATTTAACTCTCTCACAGCAGATGAGCACAGGTAAGAACCATTTGGAGATGTGGAAACTGCTAGGAATCCTTCTGATGCTCTTGGACAAGTCATAAAATTCCCTCTGTTAGAACAATGAATGTTGTGTGGTGATACACTCAGCACCAACAGAGCTGTTTGAAGAATGAAATTCCCATTCCATGAACATCCCACTGATCTTTGGGTTGGGAAGAGCTATCTGTCTCTGGGCTAATTTCCCTCCACTAACATAACATCAAGTAATTAACTGAATGAGAAGAGAATTCTACTGCAGAACCAGTCTTTCATCTGCACTGTCTTGGGAACACCCAACACTCCTGTGGGGAGTGTTTTGTTGTCTCCACAATGAAATATGGTTGCATTTCCCTGGCTGCTCACCTGATGGGCTCCAGAGTTCCCAGAGGTTTGACTTGACTTCCTGAGCAGCAATTCCTGGATTTGGCTTCACTCTGCTTTACTTTTGACAGTTCAGTAGCTGTTAATGGTTTGGCTAAGGATAATTAAGGACGTGCATCTGGCAATCAGGATATTTGCTGCCTGTCCGAAAGTGTTGGGGATGGTTTGTGGCTTTGGTGGCTTAGAGAGACATTTGTTTGCTGATGTGAACTAAAAATTAGGCTATATTAGACAGAAGATAATTTACTAAGTGGCAAAGTGCTATAACCTTGACTCGTGTGTGGTTTATAGTGTGTCAATCCCTCCTGTTCCCTCAGTGAATGCCGTGAGGTCCCTAAGTGCTTACCTAGTGAACTGGGGATGGTTTGTGGCTTTGGTGGCTTAGAGAGACATTTGTTTGCTGATGTGAACTAAAAATTAGGCTATATTAGACAGAAGATAATTTACTAAGTGGCAAAGTGCTATAACCTTGACTCGTGTGTGGTTTATAGTGTGTCAATCCCTCCTGTTCCCTCAGTGAATGCCGTGAGGTCCCTAAGTGCTTACCTAGTGAACGGCACCTGTCTTGGCTTGCTCTTTCCCCTCAAAGCTATGTGCTAACAGCCTTTGTTATTGAGTGGAAGAACCTGAACAGAGAAGAGGAGCTGAAATGGGTGCAAATCCCTCCACATTTGAGTAAATATTACATTTATGGTGAGTGAGCACTTGGCAGTGACGTGAATTGTTATGGGACAGAACAATGTTGTGTTGCTGAGTTCTTGGGCCCCTTTCCCCTCTCTCTATATCTAATGTCTCTGCATGGTTTGGACCAATAGAGCAATGTATGATGATCATTAGAGCATTGACTGTTGCACTAGTAGTTAGGTTAACAAAGAGTGAATCTCAGGACTGTGTTCATATTTGGGCAATGCAACAAAATTAGTCCTAAAATATTGAGTACAGGAGCTAATTATCATAGTATCGTAAAATATTAAGGGGTTGGAATGGAGCTTAGAGATCATCCAGTCCCAACTCTCTGCCCTGGGCAGGGACACCTCCCACCAGAACAGGTTGCTGAAGGCTTCATCCAACCTGGCTTTGAACACTGCCAGGGTTGGGGCAGCCACAGCCTCCCTGGGCAACCTGTGCCAATGTCTCATCACCCTCACAGGAAAAACTTCTGCCTAATATCTAGTCTAAATTTCCTTCTTTCGATTTATCCCCATTATTGCTCCTTGTCCTGTCACTGCAGTTCCTAACACAGAGTCCCTCTGTAGCTTCCCTGGAGCCCCTTCAGATCCTGGCAAGTTGCTCTGAGGTCTCCACACAACCTTCTCATCTCCTAAGAAGAATTAGCTAAGTTAACATGTGCTTTTCATTTGCATTTAGGTTTTAATCTTAGAGATTATTACCATAGCTCCATAAAGTGTTAATTCCATGACAGAATAATGCTGGATTATCCAGTATGGGTTAATAGTTTTAATCCTGTGATAATTAAGTATCTATAAAAAATGAATTCAGTTATTGGCTGATCTGAACTGTGGTCTGTGACCAGAGCCTCTGTGCAGGGAACTGTTTAAACACTGGCTAACAGTTTGGACTCCCCCTGAATTTTCCCTCCGATTTCCTCTCTCCAGATCACTTTATCCTGGTTGAGAAGTACCAGTTCAGGCTCTCCCCTGTGTTTGCTGGAGGAGTTGGCAAGTCCACAGCAACTGATCAGTTCAGCAAAGGTGACTGACAGGATCTCTCTCTGTGTTGTGTATGAAACAGCAGCCTGTAAAAGTGACCTTTAAGTGCAGAAATCTCTGTTTTATCAGTAATAAAGTAATTCTAATGCTCTATAAAGAGTGATTCAGTAGCTTTCATTGAAAACTCTCCATGGGATGAGTTGAGTGAGGGACAGAATAACTGTTTACAATACTTCCTTCCTTTTTGCCTATTTATTCTTGAGGCAAAGGTTTGTTGATGGACACTAAAATCATTCACCAAGGGGTTCTTTTTTCCCATTTAAGCTGTTGCTTCTACTCTGTCTTATTTCCCTGTTGCAAACTCTTTGTTCACAGCCAAATTAGTTTGCTGCATTAATAGCTGAACTCCTTTATTTCCAGGTGGATTTGAAAGTGAGAGTAATTCCAGCCTTTACATGGTTGTGCCAGTTGTTATTTCAAGCTCAGTTCTGTTACTTGGAGCATTGCTGGTTTCACAACAAAGGTACTTTGGTCATTGTCATTTGAAGGCCCTGGTGGTGCAGCTTAGCTGCTACCAGTCTACTGAGCAGGCTTCACACAATCCCAGACTAGTTTGGGTTGGAAGGACCTTAAAGATCATCTTGTTTTCTGGGCAGGGACACCTTCCACTAGCCCAGGTTGCTCCAAGCCCCATCCAACCTGGCCTGGAACACTCCCAGGGATGGAGCAGCCACAGCTGCTCTGGGCAACCCGTGCCAGTGCCTCTGCACCTCATAGGGAGGAATTTATTCCCAATATCCCATCCATCCCAGCCCTCTGGCAGTGAGAAGCCTTTCCCTGTGTCCTGTCCCTCCAGGCCCTTCTCCCAAATCCCTCTGCAGCTCTCTTGGAGCCCCATTAGGCTCTGCTGGGTTGGGGTCATTCAGCACAGACTGTACCTTTGATATTCTCCTGAACATGATAAGTCACTTTTCTTTAATTTTTACATTAGGTTTTGCCCATTTCTAATACCTAAACTGATTATTTCATTGCAATAATGCTCTGGATAAATCAAATTGCAGAGGTCCCTTTTCTGTATGGTACAGCCCCTATGAGAACACTACCAACTCCAGCATTTCCCTGACATTTCAGAATGAAGAAGCTGCTTTGGGAGGAGGTTCCTAACCCCAAGAACTGCTCATGGGCACAAGGAGTTAATTTCCAGCAGGTGTGTATTTCCCTGGTGATGCTGCTGTGAGCTCAGGGCTGAGATCTACATGAAGGTTGCATGAACTCTACCTGAGGATTATGAGCTCAAGGCTGAGCTCTGCCTGAGAGTGCTGAGCTCTGCCTGAGGGTGCTGAGCTCTGCCTGAGGGTTGTGTGAGCTCTGCCTGAGGGTTGTGAGCTCAGGACTGAGTTCTACCTGAGAGTTAATCCAGATCCTGCCTGGATTACTGAAGGAAAAAACTTGAAGCCTCTGGATTTGGCAATGGAGCCAAGAGCTGGAAATGGGCCAGGAACACATAAAACACTTCTTCTGAGTGTATAAATTTTAAGGCAATGAATAAATCAGTTGTAAAAGCCCATAGGTGTGAGGTTTATGCACCTCAGTTTGCACCAGCAAAGTTTCTCCTGGTCCCAGTGTCTCATGGCTGAGATAATACTCCAAATTCAGGCTTGGTAGTTCTACAAGAGCATCTAGGGGCAGAGGATTTTCCAGGGGGTTAATTTACATTCCCAGTGGAGGTTTCTTTCCTCATTTTTTTATTTCATTTCATTTCATTTAATCAGTGAATGGACATTCTTTGAAGTCTAATCATGGTCACTGCCGGCCCTACCATTGAGCCAGCTCCCAGGCATCCTGGACTGTGTTGTTCCAAGATTTTTCCGTTAATAGTTAGATGTGAGAAAGCACAGCTACAATCCTGAGATGTCTAAATATAACCAATCTCTGTCAAAGATCTAAAATACCCTCACAAAACCAAGGAGCAAGTGCTGTGTTACTGCCCACAATCTTTGACATTAGATCTGTGCTTGAAAAATACAAGGCAGAAATCCTCAAGGAAATCTGATTTTGATGGAGTTGCTAAATCCAACATGTATATTTGATTTAGCGTGTTGGGAATGATAATCTTCACTGACCCATAGAGCTGAAATCAGTGATTAAAGTGGATGAAGTTTTAAGGAGGAAAAGAGGGTGACACTGCTCCATATTCCTGTACTGTGTTCCATAATTAATGGGGGGAAAATGATGCAGGAAAGGATGAAAGAAATGGAAGTTTAACATGATCTCTGACAGGTTGTTCTGCATCAGAGAACATCTTCCATGCTAATCCTGCTGGAAAACGTGGCTGAACATTAGCTGCACTGAAACCACATATCTCACTCTCTCCAGGAGTGTCCAAGGCCACAAAACACCCTTTGAGATGGTGTCTTTAGGCCCAAATCCTGCTGGAAAAGACCTCTGAGATCATCAAGTCCAACTCATGACCTAACACCACCATGTCAACTAGACCATGGCACTGAGTGCCACATCCAGTCTCTCCTTAAACAGCTCCGGGGATAGTGACTCTAACACCTCCCTGGGCAGCACATTCCAGTGTCTAATCACCCTTCTCCATTTGGGATAAGCCAGCTGCCTGGAGGAAACATGGGACTTGGGTTGTTCAAAAGCTTCCTGTTAATTTCAGAGTGGGAATGTGATGGACTTGTGAGGGACAAGTCCCAAAGCCATTAGGAATCAGCTCTGTCAGGCCCAGGTGTCACCAGCGGTGAGTCTAGACTGAGTAGAGCCCAAGATACACAAGTTGTACACTCTATGCTGTAATTGCCACTACTCCAAGTATTTTGACATGTTCCTCATGGTTTTGGCAGCTTCCCTGCTGGAAAACATGGTTTGTTAGTGTACACAAAACCTGGTTTTCATCTGTTTTGTCCTGAATTCACTGGGAAATAAATGTTTTCCAAGGGAATTTCCCTTCGTAGCTCTCTCTGGTGTTGCTGTCAGCTCATCCTAGTGTATAGTTTGCATGTGTATGTATTAGGTAGTAAATCCAACATTTCTCCCAGTTAAGGTGTTGCTCTTCACCCAATTCAAACATACAGATGCGACTTAGATGGGAATGCTCCAAAAATACTATGGAAAGGCTGAATTTGACCCTGACTAATACCGTCCTAGTACAGAAAGTGATTTCAGTTGACATAGAAATTATTCAATACATTGAGAAAATGTGTTGCAGAGGTTTTTTGACTCTATACTCTTAAAATCAAGGTATAAACTGGATGTGGCACAACTCCAGGGTCCTGCGAGTGCCCTGGGCATGGACTTGGGTGTTGGGTGCTGTGATCCGTAAAATCAGGAGATTGGTGCTGAATTAAACCTGTTAAACAATATCTCTTCTCTCCTAGCCTGAAGCTTTGGAGCATCTTTTTATCAAGCACCCTGAAGCAATGTCCTTTGAGCCACTTCTCCTGGAAGCCGAGGTAGTGCTGGAAGACATCAGTGTCATCAAAGCCTTGAACAAAGAAGACACCCAAGATCTTCTAGGGATGGATTCCATGTTTACAGACCCTCAGGACTCAGGCCAAGGTTCTGCTTGCCCCAGCAGTCAGGGCAATAGCAGCAGCTTCTCTGAGAGCTCTGATGGCCACAGCAGTGGAGAAATCATGGCACGGTGTGACCTCAAATACGCAACTGTCATGGGTAACTCCAGATCCAGTGAGCTCTTCCAGCAGAAGATGAATCCAAGGAGGTGTTTTAGTAGGTGCTTCTTAGTGGAAGATCCTTCAGAGTTAGGTGCCTTCTCAGGTAGCACCTGGGAGGTAGGAGATGGAGCCTTTCTGATGCTCCCTGCCAGGCAGCCCAGCAAGACTCTGTCCCTCATCTCTTCAGATGGATTTTCAGAGCCTTCTGACCATGAAGATGCCTCTACAGCTAGTCCTGAGCGCAGCCTGTACTACCTTGGGGTAACAGCGCTGGAAAAAGGGGAGAAGGACATTTTTCTAACAGAGAGTTCTGGGGTGCTCTGTCAGTTCCACACAAGGGATCTGGTCATGGATGTGGGAGTTCTTCAGCACACACCAAGGAACGTCAAAGAGTTTATCCAAAGCAGCCTCAAGTCTAAAGCCACAGTGCCATATGTGCCTCAGTTCCAGTTGGCTGCTGCCAAGGGGCAGGAGGCCACAGAGAACAACTAACATCATCACACCATAATTGGACACTCTTAATGTTTCTTTAGGTCCATGCATTCCCATTTTTCTCTCTTCTGACTGCCTCCAGGAGCTCACCTCTTTTGGAGTTGGAAACTGGCTCTGTAAGTGAGTGCCAGGATTTTAGGAGGAAGAAATTCCATTCCTCGACCCGATTTTCAAACATGGGGCCTGATTTTAGAGATGTGTCCAAACTAGCCTCTGCTGCCAGGTTAGCTGTTGGTGGTACTAACACCAAGAGGGAGAAGTCCAAGCTCCCCAGTGAAGAACTGCACTTGAAATGGGACTTGGTGCCATAGATGTTGAGGTGAGAGAGTTGGATGAGACCCAGCAGAGTTGGTGCTGAGGCTCATGATATATCTATCCCCAGGGCAAGGCTATGGCTGCCATACAGGGCCACCACATTGCTTGTCTGCAAATAGAGCATGGTAGCACCTTCCTGGTGTCATCAGTGCGTGACAAGAGGCTCTTCCTCCAACTGGGAGAGGTGGAGGAGTCATGGCTTCCTCAGGCCTTGGTGTGGAGATTCCCAAACACGCCTGCAGGGCTGGGAAGGATTCAAGCAACATCCACCAAGCAAGCTCAGTGCCTTTCTCATGTGGCTACTGACTGGTCCTTTGCATTCCTGGTGTGGGTTCAGCCCCAGTCCTGGTGTGAGCTCAATCCAGTGCCATAACCTTGGGCTTCTCTCCAGTTCTTGTTGTCCAACAGGGCCAAATTTTCCCCCAGGGACAGCACAGATCCATACACATATCTGCTCTCTTTTAGGAATGAAGTGTCTCAAACATGTCACAAAACTGTGTTGAAAGAGCTTGTTCTGGTTTTAGAGGTCACCTGAGGACCCCAAGGGTGAGAGAGCAAGGAGTGACCTGATATATAGACTGAAATATATGTGTGGTGATTTGGGGTGGAAAAGCTGGAATGTGTCATTTCGCTGGGAATGGTTTGTGACACCAAGTGCTACACGCTGAGTCCACCTGGATGTGGGTAAGGAATGGGTCAAGTAGGTAAACACTCAGGATACTGCAAGAAGAGGAAAAGAACCAAAGTTCTTGTGGCTCCATTAATTGTGGGTGTTACCTGGGTGAAATGAGCTATTTGGGAGTTAAATATCCACATTTTCATTGTTGAACATGAGATTCTGGTACAGAGGTACTGCCATAAGACTGACATCTCTTCCCAGCCCTTTTGCTAAGATCCCACAGTAGAACAGGCAGGAATTTGATCCAAAGATCCTGTACTTTTGATCCAGGGTGAGCTAAGTCCTGTATGGACTTGGAGGAGTCAGTTTGCCTCTCCAACCCTGCTCCACTCAGCTCCTAGTGGGAGGAAAATAAGGTCTGTATTTCTAGGATAAGCAGGTGAACAAACCCACACCTATTTGCAAGCCAAATCTATTTTATTTACTTCATAAATATTTTTGTACATGTGCCTTTTCAGAGAACTATTTTGAGGCACTAAGGATGAATAGTTGTGTATTCCAAAGCTAAATTTCTGTAAAATAAGATAGGCAAAACCCAGTGACAAGTACAAACCAAAGCAAGTGTGGATTTAAGACCAAGTCAACAAAACTCCACTGCTCTTGCTCAGACAAGCTCCCGGGGGGCTCTTTGGATCTGCCTGTTGACTGTGACCAGATCTGCTGTGCTGGTTTCACAAGCACTGTGTGTGTGGATTAAACATGGTTTGTGTTAGGAACCAAAGATCCTTGTCCCTGTGATTGGACAAACCTGCAAGTTCCTCTTCAAGGGGTGCAGCTGTGGTAGCACCCGGGTAGAATTCCCGGTGTGTTTGGTGGGTGTAGGGGATGGGAATTTGGAATTACTCTAGGTGGTGCACAGGAGAAATAACACAATTCTCAGGAGGTTTAGCAAGAAAGAGTTTTTACTTACAAACTTTAGGTCATCCATCCATCCACTACTGCCATGTCAGGGTCACACAGAGCCATGTGGACACTGACACCTTCTCAGGGTCACACAGAGCCATGTGGGCACTAACACCATCTCAGGGTCACACAGAGCCATGTGAGCACTGACACCATGCCAGGGTCACACAGAGCCATGTGGGCACTGACACCATGCCAGGGTCACTCCAGAGCTGTGTAGTCACTGATGCCATCCCAGTACAGGCATGCTCTGACCTTTTAAGGCTCAAGGAGTTCCTGTAGTGCTTCCCCACCTGGTTGTTTTGAGCAAGGGAACTTTTTCCCCAGGCTCTGACACTGGGTCAACACTGTACTTGGGATTCATCTGAGACAAGGAATTCCCTCCTGCTGCCATGGGAACTTGATGTGGCACAACTCCAGGGACAGATCTAGGATCCTGCACATCATCCTTCTGCTCCTGGTAGCCTGGGATGCAGAAGACATGTGAACTGTTGAAGTGTGGCATTTGACAGCTGCCACAGTGTCACCACATCACCCTCTGCTCAGAGGAGAGACTCCCATCCCAGTGCACAGGCAGTGTTCCCATCTGCCAAAGCTTCCTGCTTTAGGGAAGGGAAAGGATAGCAACAGTTCCCTGTAGACTGGAATCATCAATACATGAGGCTTGGATTTCTTTAATGGAAGTGTCCAGAAAAATGATTTAGCTGTGTTTGAAGTTTGTCTTTCTCAAGACATGAAAAGTTCATGTTGATTTTAGCATACACAGTCCTTATCCAGTAAACCTGTAAGGACAGGAATAGCATTAGCCATGGGAATGACTGTCTCAGGGAACCAGGGAAGGCTTTCCTGGGAACATGGGAAAATGCAGGGGTAAATCTCCTGTCCCCTGTCCTGCAGGCTCTGCCTGCAGCTGTGTTAAGAGAAGTACAGAACATCTTCCCTCAATGGACATTGGTAGATGTCCAGGTATCACCTTTGGGAGTCCAGCCTGTCCTCCCTCTGCCATCCCAGGGTTTTCCCTAATGGCCAGAGCACAAGGTGCTCCTTAGAAAAACATATGGATCTGCTCTACACAAATCCTGCTGTGGATGCAGGAAATACAGCAAATATGAGCTGCTCTCTCTGAGCAATCAGAGAAGGTTTTCAGTGTAATGTCTGTAGACCCAACAAGTGAATCCCTCAATGTGGGTGTCCTGTTCTGGAGCAACTTCCATGCCTGCTGTCCCTGTCCTCCTGATGGAGCTGGTAACCCCAGGTCCTGACCCCCAGCAGACCACAGGCCACAGCTGCACCAGTTTATTCAATACATAACTCCTTCAACTGTTCCAGTCTGGCATTGTCATCCTGATCCAACAGACATTCAATCCTACTCTTCATCTTTCTCTGCTCTCATATAAAGTCAAAATCTGCATATTCTGAACTCACGGTCTGCCTCTGCCCTGGCTCTGGTTACAGCTTCGGCTCTGGACACTCCTGCAGGCAGCAGCTGCCTCTGGGAGAGGAAATGGAGAGCTGGAACCAGTTACTGTGTTATTTTCCACCATTATTTCTCCTCTCAACTTCAGGTCAGTTTGTTTAACACATCTGACTCCTTCCCAAGCTGTGGTGGATCACAGGGGTTTGCTGTGTTTCAAGCCATCTCCTGCTGCCACAATACATGTGCTTGAAGCAGGACTTACATCTCCTTTGCTTATTGCTGGGAAGCTGAGGAGCTGGGAAAAGCCATTCCATGTGGAGATTTTGAAGGTTGGTTTTTGTCATAGATGGAACAGGAGCTCCTGCTCCTGTCCACAGGGCCAAGGGACACAGCTGTTGCCCAGCAGAGGGCTGGAAGGAGCTTTGTAGCAGGAGCTGTCCTTGGAGCTGAAGTGGAGCAGAGCCAGGAGGCTGTGCTGGCTGCCTTGCCTGGGCTCAGGCTGCATCTTGGCAAGAGAACTGGGAAGTCCCTGCCAAGAAACAGGGAGAAAGTAGGGAACAGGGTCAGGCTGGGATCTGCATTGGAGGGAGAGGGATGCTGGGGACAAATTGGGTTCAGCTGATGACCTTCAGCTTCCCCTCTGCTCTGATGGGGTCTCATGGAGACAGGGCCATTCCTGGGCTTGGTGCCTGGCAGAGCCAAAGGGATTTGCCCACACTGGGGCCCAGGGAGGGAAGAGGAGCACTGTGGAAATGCACTTGGGAGCATCCCAAAAGCAGTCCAGGGCTTGGCTGTGGGAGTAACCCAGCACAGCTTCTATTTCCTTCTCCCACGGAAACTGTCAGTGCTTCCCCAGAAATGTACCTGTGCCACAGATCCTTCTGTGCTAATTCCCAGTGCAGGTGGTCATTTTGTAGGGAGATATTTTCCTTACCATGGCTCCACACCCACCAGGAAAGACCTTTTCCATCCAAACTGGCCATGCAATTAGGAGGAACCATGTGCAGCGTCTGCAGGACACATTAAGCTCTAATATTAAGCTTCTGCAAATTAATTTGGAAGAGCATTCAGCAGCTCATTTGTCTAAGAAAAGGAATCCAATGTGTCATTATTCCTTTGATGTGGCTCTTGCAGCTACAGTGAAATGCCCTTTTTCCCCCTCTTTTTAAATGTGGAATTGATGTTTGAAACGGCAAGAGACCAGTTTGCATGGTTTAGAGTCATGGAATGGGTTGGGTTGGGAGGGACCACCCCCTGCCATGTGCAGGGACACCTCCCACTAGCCCAGGCTGCTCCAAGCCCTATCCAACCTGGCCTGGAACACTCCCAGGGATGGGGCAATGCTTCCAAGGATGCTTTAGTGTAGATTTTTTTTGTGGTTGAGCCATGGACCTGTGCAATCAGCCATGGATCTGTGCAATCAGCCTTGGGTTTGGGATCTTGAAACAAGACAGTGTTCAGGCTTCCCTTTCTCTCTGCATAAACTGATTTCTTTTCTCTCCATGGCTGTCACTGCTGCAGCACTTGGGATAATTGTTTTCCACTGATGAGAGTAACTTGAATCAGCACTTTTTAACAGTGTCAGAGTAATTTTGCTATTGTTTTAGTCAATAAGAAGCCTGGTGTGGCTGTCACTGTGAGTAGGTGTTTGCCTGTCACCTGCCATGGGGGCTGAGAGCTATTCCT